GCATGTGCACCACCGCGGCCCCCGCCGAGCCCAGGGTTCTCAGCCGCCTGGCGCGGGAGAGGCCTCCCACAGCGCGGGCGCCTCCCTCATGGACCCCTCGGTGGGTCACGTTGGCGTCGGTGCCCAGGTTGCGGGCCTGGGATCCACGCTTGACCTCGAAGCCCAGGGCGGCCCAGCTGGCGGCGAGGCCATCCGCCACCTGTGCAGACGAGGCCAGGAAAACTGACCTACCCTCATTGAGCGGGAGGTGGTGGGCCTGTAGGTGTCGCAGCACCTCCCCGCTGGCCCCCACGAGCTGGTCCACGACCAGCCTCGCTGAGCCAACCGCTTGGAGCGAGACGTCGTCCACCAAGTTGCGCAGGGTGGCAAGCGGCCGCTGAGCCCCGGCCGCGAGGAGGCCTCCCAGAAGGGGAAGCTCAGCAACAGCCGTCGCACACGCGCAGCCCGCCAGCACTGCGCCACTGGCCCCAAAGGGGGCCGAAGCCATGCCACCCGCCAGCACGATCCTCGGGGCCTGGTAGATGGCGAGGAGGCCGCGCAGCAGCTTCAGGTTGAAGCCAAAGCGCTGGGCTGACATCCAGAGGACGTCGTGGCGCACGTGCTCGTAGAACTTGCGGATGTCCAGGAACAGGCTGGCCACCTCGAAGTGCGGGGAGGCCATCGCGTAGCCCGCGAAGCAGTTGTGGAGCCAACCCGCTCTTTCGCAATCTCGGCCATCGCGACCCCAGAAGAAGGGGAAGCAGTGGTCTGACTCCCATCGGGCACAGCACGGCTGCCTCAGGCGAGACCAAAGCCGCAAGGCCAGCTGGAGCAGCGCGATGGGCCTCGTCCCTCCGTCAGCTTTAGGAATAAAAACCATGAGCGTCACCTGTCCCCTGATCGAAGAAGGCTCGTCCTCGAACGCCGTGAGGATGTCGACCAGGCGAAGCTGCAGCGCCACTGGCAGCAGGAGAAGCTGGCGAGGGTGCAGGTTATCGCAGCCCAGCCCCACAGACGGGCCGTAGCGCTTGCACGCCTGCTGCAAGGCCTCCAGGGTGATGGGCGGCAGCGTCCAGGAACCAACATCCCACTGGTGGGCTCCGACTCCGCTGGAGAACCCTTCCCGGGGCCAGAGCCGCTGCCATGTGCGCGTGAGCTGGTCGACGGCGTCCATGCCGACGAGGGGCCTCCCTGCGTCGGCGTCCCTGACCACAGGCGTGGGGGCCGCCTTGGAGAAGCGGTGTGCCAAGCGGCCTCCTTTCCCCACCGCCGTCCGGGCCCAACTGCACCAAGCGGCAGCTCCTTCAGCGGCATCGCGCCTCCGGGACGCCAGGAGCCACGACTGCAGCTTGGCGATCGCCGTGGGGCAGCCCTTCACCCCCGCGTGAAGGCGAGGTCACCCCACTTCTCGTCGGTGGCCCCACGGAGGGGCGCGCTCCGAATCCATGCCTCCTCCTGGGTCGCCTCGTCCAGGAACTCCGCCCTCGCCGCAGCCTGCTGCTCATGCCACCAAGAGTGGGTCGGGTGCCACCTGCTGGCCTGCTCGGCACGAAGCCTCTGGAGGGCGACCGCCAGGCAGCTCCTCAGGCGGTGGGTCAGCACGCTGTACTTCAGCCTGGCCTCACGCTGCACCAGCGCGCTGAAGGGCATGCGCCTGGTCTTGGGCCCTGCCGCTCGCCCAAGGAAGCGTGGCAGGTCGCCTGGCGCAATCTCATGGATGCCCGTGAGGGTGCCCTCCGCCGCCTCCATCCACTCGCCGAAAGCAGCAGAGAGGCAGGTCGGGCGCGAACCCTGAGCCCATGACCAAGCTACATCCTTCTGCGACACCTTCCCGCGCTCGCCGACAGTGAAGGCCTGGACCAAGGCGTCCTCGTGGGAGCGCGCACCCTTGACCTCCACCTCTGGAAACCGCGCAGGGCGGGAGGGCGCCTCGACCAGGGCATCGCACCTGACGCCCTGGAGGCGCAGCAGCACAGGAGAGTGCGGGCGCAGCCCGAAGTCGTTGAGCGTGGTCGCGCAGGACGCCGCGCACGTGGCCAGGTCGGACGACGCGACGAACCAGTCGTAGACGCGCTCCAAGCCCTGGGCAACGCAGGTCGCTTCAGAGGGCCCGAGCACCTGACCGCGAACCGCTGCAGGCCAGCCCAACTCCTGCAGGGGCTCGGGCTCCACGTTGAAATCCGCCTGGAGGACCCAGGGCAAGTCGAGCGAGAATGCCACGAGGTCCGAGACCGAGGAGAACAGGTCGAGGTTGATCCCCCGCGGGCCCAAGGAGCGCTGGAAGTACCCTGCCAAGGCCAGGAGGCGGATGCCCGACGGCGCCGCCACCTCAACGCCGATGAGGCGGTGGCGCAGGGCCGCAGGGAGCTGGCATGCAGACTCCTCGGCCTGGAGCCCAGCCCTCACCAGGATCGCGACGCCGCCCGACGTGGCGTTCGGGCCAGGCTGGCCCGTGGCCACCGCCTCATGGAAGAAGGCGGCGTAGCCGAGGCGGCGTGCCAGCGCCCTGGCCACAGGGAGCCGCTCCTGGGTGAGCCTCGTCTCCTGAAGGAGGACCAGCTGTGGCCAGTACTGCGGGGCGTGGAAGAAGGCCTCGAGGACCTCGACGCTCCTGTTCCAGACGTTCCCGCTGCAGCCCAGGACCTCCAGGCCAGCGCGCAGGGGGCAAGGTCCTCGAGGGCCAGGCCCAGGGACTGGCTGCGGCCCGAGGCGAGCCTTGCCAATGCAGGCCTCCTGCGCCGTCATCCTCGTCCTCTGGCCACTTGGCACCTTGGCTTCGCTAAGCCCGTCGAGGGTCTCGGCCGCCCGCTCGTCAGCGGCCTCGACGGGGAGCGCGGGGGGGTGAAGGGGCATCGGCCACCCGCCCGTCGGCGGCCCTCATCGCTCCCCCTCGGCCAGGTGCCGCTCTCGTAGGTTCGCCCAGGCCCTGGGAAAGGCCTTGGGCCCCCCACTCCGCTGGCACCTGCTCACTCAGGCGCCGTCTGACCCTCCTGCTGTCAACCGAACACTGGCCTACCGAGCCGATGTCAAACCCGACGACGGCCCACGGCAGCAAAGCCCCCAGCAGCAGTAGCCAGCGGCTGGTCGTCGAGGAGGGCTGCCCCAGCGTTGGCCAGGTCCCCAGCCAGCGGCTGGGCTGAGGGCCACGCTCCGTGCGCCTCTCCTCGGCGCGCAGCTTGGCCGCGCTCGGCCGCGTCCTGGAGGGGGGGGGGGAGGGGGCCGACGACGCCTGCACCCGCTCCTCCTCATCTCCGTCGAGGTCCTCGTCCGAGACGTCGAGGGGGGTGTCGGCCCAGGAAGAGCGCCCCCTGGCCTCGGGGGGAGCATGCCTGCGGACCGCTGCAATCTGCTTGGCGACCTCAGCAAAGGCGGCCTCCCCATTGCCCGCGGCGAAGCCCTGGGGCAAGGCCTCGACCTGCTGGATGAGGCCGAAGACGATCCCAAACAAGTCCGTGCCGATGAAGGCCGCGCCGACCTCTTTGGCCTGCCTGGCCTCTGCGGCCATCTGCCCCACGCGGTGAGCCTCGAGAGCAGCTCGGCACTCCTCGACCGCCTCAGCGCAGGCGGCCTCGCGCGCGATGGCCGCCTCACGCTCTCCGATGGCTGCCGCGTGGGCCTCCTCTGCCTTGAGCAGCGCCTGCTCCTTGGCCCGCCCCTGCCTGACCAGCTTTCCCAGGGCGTTGCCAGCACCGTGGAGCGCCTGGGGCAGGGGGGTGTCGGCCTTCTTGCGCTCCACCTGCGCCGCCTCGGCTGCCGAGACCCTGCGCCGCTCGCGGTCGAGGGCCGCTCGCAGCGACTGCAGGCACCCTTCGTCGATGGACCCGCCAGGGGCCGCGAGGAAGCCCTCGATGCGCTTGACCCCCAGGCGGTGCTGCTCGACGGCCGAATGCTGCACGCTGCTGGCCTCGCTGACGCCTGCCTGACTGGCGGCCCCAGCGCTTGCCGCACGGGCAGCAGTGCGCTTGGCCTGGCGCCTCGCCTTCCTCCCACGGGGCTGGACGACGAAGCCCTCGGCGTCGGCGGCGGGCGACTCCTGGCCGGCGGCAGCCGCGGGCGGCTGGGCTGCCTTGACCCACGGCGGGGCCGCTCGGCCGCAGCCGCGGCACTTCCAGAGCGAGCACCAGTTCTACTCCCTGCGCAAGCCGCTGGAGCAGACCCAGTAGCTCCAGTTGCCCTTGGCCTTGCCGCCCGCCGCGACGCTGGCCCAGGAGCGGCCTCCAGCTGCTTGCCCGTAGGCCACCATGGCAAGGCTGACCCCGACGTGTGGCCTCGCGGCCCAAAACTGCGGCCTCGCGGCCCGTGCTGTCGGCACGAAGAACAATCACTTGTGAGCTGGCCCAAAGCGAAGAGCCCCTCGTGTCTGTGTGTCTGTGTGTCTGTGTGTCTGCGTGTCTGTGTGTCTGTGTGTCTGTGTGTCTGTGTGCCTGTGTGTCTGTGTGTCTGTGTGTCTGTGTGTCTGTGTGTCTGTGTGCCTGTGTGTCTGTGTGTCTGTGTGTTTGTGTGTCTGTGTGTCTGTGTACCTGTGTGTCTGTGTGTCTGTGTGTCTGTGTGTCTGTGTGTCTGTGTGTCTGTGTGTCTGTGTGTCTGTGTGTGTGTATGTGTGTCTGTGTCGTGTCTGTGTGTCTGTGTGTCTGTGTGTCTGTGTGTGTCTGTGTCTGTGTGTCTGCGTGTCTGTGTGTCTGCGTGTCTGTGTGTCTGTGTGTCTGTGTGTCTGTGTGTCTGTGTGTGTGTCTGTGTGTCTGTGTGTCTGTGTGTCTGTGTCTGTGTCTGTGTCTGTGTCTGTGTGTGTGGCGAGGGGGCCCAGCGCCGCCAGATGAGCGACGAGAAGAAACGGGTCTTACGCGCGATGACGTGGCGACCTTACGCCGCTGCTTTCGCGGGCTGCCAGCGTGGCACACCGTGTGGAGACGAGGGCGCCCACGCGGGGCTCTGCGCGGGCAGCTCACGCGCGAATGTCGGCGCGTTCGACCCCGTTTTCTCCCGTCGCTCAGATGCCGCCGCGGGCCTGCGCAGATGTACAGAGCGGGGAGACCCAGCAAAGCAAAGGCAGGCCTCCCCGGTCGGGTCAAGACTCGGAAGCCAGCCCGCTGGCAAGGGCTCTGGGCCGAGCTGGTCTGGAGGAAAAAGACACGTAATGAACATAAACTGTCGGAGCTCCGCGCTGATTTCTGGGATCTGCGCTGCACCCCCCCCTCCTCCCTGGCGCGCGGAGTGCGCCAGGGGCGGCGCCTCAAGCGCCGCCAGGAGGTCCAAAGCAGATCCAAGACATCCGTGCAGTGCGGAACTCCGACGGACTATGGCAATGCAATGGCTTCTTCCTCAATGGTCGTGGAAGACAGGCTGGAAAGCCTCTGTGGGCCCCAGCATTGACGCAGCTGCATTAAGATATCCGCTGCCGCACTGCACCGGCGGGCTCGGTGTGCTTCTCGTGGACCCTGCTCCCTGCAGCACAGCGGCCCCAGGCAGCGGGACCCACGTGCGAACACCTTTGGCTAGGTCGGGCACATCCCCCCACAGGCGTAGTTCGGGAAGATGTTTTTTCTTTTTCTTTTTTTTTAAAAAAACAAAAACACACACACAAAACAAAAAAAACAATAAAAAAACAGCAACAAACAACTTAGAAAATACTACTCCCAAATAGTCAAGCATGGTTGACAAATCGTCCCCAGGCTGGATTGTTGTCTATTTTTGAGTCTTCCTCCTATAAAGGGACACGCCCGATTTGACCTTTGGCGGCTCCACGCCGCAGCAGCTCAAGCAGACCTTCTGGCAGAGGAGCGGTGCCAAAGACTTCTCGGGTGGGGGGGGGGGCGTCCTTGCCCCCCCCCTGCCCCCCCCCCCTCTGGGGGGGAACGATGAAGATCGATACTCAGACATGCGATGCCCTGATTTGTTCAATAATCGGGGGGTCTTCTGACCTGGGTCAGTCCACACCGGGGTCAGTCAACCTTGCAGAATCCTGCAAGATCCAGCACCCAAGCCCGGGTCAATGCGACCCTGGCCCTGCAGAATCCTGCAAGATCGGGCGCTCTGGCTGACCCCCGTTTGCATTGACCCCCGTCTCTTGAGCCCCGACATGCGGGGTCTCTGAAAGTCCCGGCCCATTCCCCAGGGCCAGTTTCTCATCCCGGGCCGCTTCTGGACAGACCTGGGGCCCAGCGGGTGCCCCGGGAGACCGCAAGCGGCCAAAAGACTCCCGTCGTGATTTTGATCGCGACGCGAACACGTACGGGTTGCCCTCCGCCGGAGGGGGGAAACAAGAAACGCCGACACCCGCGCTCCCGGGACCTCTCCAACAGGGCTCTCTGGCTGGACTCCGGGGCGGATCCAACCGTGGCGGTGATGGGCCCCACGTGAGGCCCCAAAAGGGTGGACACGAAGAAGGCAGAGAAAGGAACAACTGCAGGCTCATAAACTTTCTGAACTTCGCGCGGAGAGGAAGAGGAGGAGGAGGAGGAGGAGGAGGAGGAGAAGGAGGAGGAGGAGGAGGA